TCACAGACTATCAGCCGGCTACTCATCACATCGGTGGCGAGAGTCTATGCTCCGCCCCTCGTTTCTCCTTGAAGGAGCTCATGCTACTGCGGTCCTCGCGCAGCCAACGGGTAGTGATGGCCTCAAGACAAGGTCTATGGAACCAACCCCGGCCCGACGAGGGAGATACCAAGCCAAACATCACAAAGCAACGGATACCAACATCGACTGAGAATCATTTACTTACCTGTAGTGAGTGAATTATGTAAATCGAGTGAAATACATGTGGTGGGGTAAGATCTCCTACCAAACGGGGCCTAGGCTGTGGTCGGTCCTGCCCGGAAGATTGGCGGTAGGAGGTTGTAGCTCCCTGCCGTGCATGACGTAATCCTTACACACCCCAAAGTCATGCGATCTTGAACGATAGACGGCTTAAGATACTTGCTGACAGGTGCACAATCATGCAACGATTACAACACCTTCACCCGTGATCTCAGGAGATTGTGATGTTCCAATCAACAGTTCATTCATGCACACCAATATTATACACGCTTTTTAACCTCCTTTCGCAATTTTTGGTTTACCGGCAACGCTGCACACATGCACACACACGCACACACAAACAGAAGCCAGATGACGGTTTCCTACTACTACAACAACTACTACTACCACCACCCACAGCACATCCCGCCACCTACTACGGTGCAAAGACCCCCGTATCAAAAACCCCAAAAACTACATCTTGCATGCATGGCCCCACACCCGCCACTCCCTTTCCCGGTGGCATCGGTGCCCCTCCCTCTCAAACTGCCAAATACGTAATCGTACAATTCCGCGCCTTGGGGGCAGGTACAGTCAACACACTCCTCCCCGGTGCGTTCGGCAGCTGTGTGCCGACCTCGAGCGCCAAACTCCCCGAGACTAGGGGACCGGTCCATACCCCTAGCGGTCCAGCAGCACTATCACCACCATGAGCAAGATTCCATCCGCACCAAAAAAAGAGGGAACGCAAAGAAGAGGCAGAGGGGAAATATATACCCAAGTATCTGCGTAAATCCGTCAACACTGAGCGGGGACCCCGGAGCGCCAACGGGGCCCAGCGTGGCGGTGGCGCCGACGGTAACGCCGAAGAGGAGCGGGTTCAAGCCGGCGAGGACGGTGACGGTTGTGGCGTCGGTACTGGGGACCAGGGCTAAGGTACAGCTGGGCCCCACCAACGCGGGGACGAACGCGAGGAAGTTGGCCACAGCGCAGAGAACAAAGCCGTCTAGGGCGATGGTTACGATGCCGATGCCGAGAACCATGGTGGTGGAGGTGGGGTGATGATGGTGGTCGCGATGAAGGTGGTTGTGCAGGATGGGGTTTGGAGTGTGCGGTGGGGAAGTCGAATGTAGAGATGGAGAGAGAGTTAGATGACCTCAGGGAATGGGGGCGAGAGCACTGTTTTATACGTACCTTGGACGCTTTGGACGTTCAACTACATAACAGCCTTCCTCCCTCTCTTCCACCACCTACTAGCTATCAGAACCATGGACACGACCTGCCACTGCGATAACAGCCTGCGATCAACATCAATGTCATTTCCGAGCTGATTACAAAGGTAGTATCTACGAGAACGGAGAGGTGTAAACATCGGTTACCGCAACCTATATCGCGGCGAGCGCGATAATGCCTTAAACGCACCTATCCCTACAACTTCACTGTGTGTGGTACGAAAGACTATTGTATACCGCAACTCCTGCATTAAGTTGAAGGTCACCCAGCGTTGGAACGGTTGTTTCTCACGACTATTTACTAGTTTCACCGTTTTACCATATGACCTCAGGAGGTGGATATGGAGCATTGGTAACTGCCCATCAAGATATCTGACAGCTGGACCCCTCACCGAAATAGGAATGACCACCGCGCTCCATACATTCTCAACCTCGCATGTACGGGCATATAGTCGAATAACCGTTCTCATCGGTGGTTATGCCTCCCACTTAGTGTGGTTCACGAGCCCGCTCAAGAGTCTGGACGAGCAAGGGGAAAGGACCAAGTCTGCTCATGAAAACGACTGCTCGTCTCGATTCGACTTGTAAATCCTAAGGTACTCGAGCTTTGCAGTGCCCTCAAATTGGCCCTTAAGGTGATTCCAGAATCTAGATATGATTATTGGAAATCATTCCGTTAGGGTTGGGCCTCCTTAATACAAGATTCTCTAAATTCAGTGCCGATGATATAGTTGGCAAAACATCACCCAAGACGCTCGGGCTCTCATATGGGGTAGCGCTAAAGGCTCGGGCCAACTTGACTAGTGAGGGCTCAACCCGCCGTTCCTCCCCCTCCGATCCCTTCTCCCTGCTGTAGTTCTAGCTGAGGTGCAGGCGGTGACAGAAAGCCTTTAGGTCTCTCTACCGGCCGCCAAGGCGCCAAGACAAGCATACGACTACACTTCTCTATCTCTCCATCACCACAACAAACACAAAGACTTACTTGCCCCATGTCCAGGGCGACCCCCGCTATACCACGGCAATAAGTCAACTAACCCTCCCCAACCAAGTTCAGGAAGAGGGCCATATCTGGAACATAACTCAGAATGACAACCCTTCCCTAGTTTTGGGTACGAGTCTGTTAGAGCCCGAGTTGGCTCGGATCGTGCAAACGAGGGCTTGGGATGTTCGAGCTGGTGGGTATGGCTCGAGCTTGAGCTCAAGCTCCAATTAAAGAAAAATGTTCCTCTCGAGATAAGTTTCACTTTCAGGACGAATTCAAGGGGTTTATTTTGTTAGATTTTCCAATTTTGCCATTACTTATAGTCAAAAACGCTCGAGCCTAAGCTCGGGCCTCCCTAAGACTAGTGCGAGTTGACCCCCGCTCGTAAGGAGAGCTTGAGGTGTTTGAGCCCAAAGCCCGAGTTCAAAGCTCGAGCCCGGTTGGCCCGTGCCTGTTCTGATCTGTTACCAAGACGTGGATTTGGCCAAGTGCGCGCACAATTCCTCAAGATTGGTGGATAGGGCGATCCTTTCAAAAGGCCTATATTATGATGAATAGGGCGCTCTATTAAACACGCTCGCTTATTAGCTCTATTCCAGTCTTCAACTATAGAAATATGGAGGTTCTGAACCCTATCATGCAGCGCCTATCACTTCAGCTGTCGAGAAGATCCTGACCCACCAAAAAAAAGATATATTTGGTGTGGATTTAGTTACTGTTACTGTTACTGCTACTGTTACAGTCATGGGAGGCAGGGAGGGTGGGATTATATAGATTTCTCTCTATCTGAACCCATTGACACATCCACTGGAAGGAAATATTATACAGTGTAAAGAATATGTCCGGAAGTGCGACTTGATCATTTGGTCAACAATCCATCAAGATGCCCATTTGGCTAAGAGGTCGCCCCATCCATCATCTTGCTTGATACGGCGCACACTTGGCCAAATGTACGTCTTGGCCAACGGATCAGCACAACATCCTCCCCTATTATGAACTAATCTGAATAGAGAATTCTATTCAGATACCTGGCATTGTCCCCCAGTGCTATTTGGCTATTTACTGTTGTGAGAATTGCGATATCCTTCACTAAATTAGTCAGTGTGGAGTAGTTCTGTCGGGCAAGTTTGCGAACGCCTCCTGTTTTTGTTTTGTTTTTGGCACAATAGTATGCTCGCTGGTGGAGATGTTAGTTGTGATGAGTAGAATCCAGATAGTATTTATTGCAGGTTTCCACAAGTAAGTGTACACCGGTCATTGACATGGCAACGCCGTCCGAGCTATCAATATGGATGGTCATTAGAGCAACCAACGGGCCTCTAAATGTAGGAGAATACTTCGATAGTAAAATTTAATGTACGTTAATTCTTGGTATACCATCCTTCAGTATCAATTACTGCCTGAACCCCATGAACCATGGATTCTGCCAAGGACTCAAAGACCTCAGGTTTTAATAATTCCCAACAATGTTCGATAGCATTCCCCGATCCCCCCTTCTACATCTCAAACTTGTGCTTCATAGAGCATAGGAAACAGCTTATACCATCAATACTTTATTAGAGCCCGAATATGTTCGATAGGTTTGAGACCTGGAGAGTAAGGGGGTATAGATTGAAGTGAAATACCCTCCCCCTGGAGCTACCTGTGAAGTGGTAAATCTATTTTTACATTATCAATAATAAGATAGATCTCCCCTCCTTCATTTTCTCTTTTAATTTCTTTACAGATATTTAGAAAATATGCATCAATAACAGTGATGAAATTTCTGGAAGTAACCACTCCTCCACGTGACTCTGGATTAGAATATACAGATTAGATCAACTTTATTTCTACCCAATAAAATAGCCAGTTATCATTAGACTGACTTTGCGTTCACTAATCCTTGTAGGACCCCCCACATTGTCCTTCAACCACTTGTCTCGAGGGCATCGGAAAATACATTTTCGTTGTTTCTCTCCCCCTTCTCCATTGTGACATAATCCCCCTATATACACCTATTCTTCCAAATTAATTTGGAACCATACTGCTGCTCCAATGAACTATCTAGTTTAGACTGACAACTTGATTGTATAGGTCAGTTTTCTCTCCCTTCTGTTACTCTTTTAAGTTTGTTTCAAGTATATGACATCGAATAGTCGTGAAGGACAACTAATGGCTTCGGAGATCGGAAACAACTAGGGAACACATTTGAAATTATTCAAATCCCCATATGGCTCAGCAAACCCGAAGCCAGAATTGTGAAAACCCACTCATCAATGATAATTGCACTGCTTGGGCAATATACTAAGGAAACCTAGGGCCTCCGATACCTCAGACTTTTCACCAGACAATACAAAATTGACAATTTTCTCCCTGCCAACCCAGACACCCAATGTTCCAAATGCCTAGAATACGGACACTGACCAAAACGGTGCTCACACCCTTCTCTAAGCCGAGATGACCTAGCTATCTACCACATACCGACACTTCAGACGGGTGCGGGAGCCTTGAGCTCGGTGCTATCTTCCCACCTGTCCGACTTCTTCACCCCCGCCCACTCCGCCACCATGGCCCTATGCACCACCGTACCCCAACACCCAGCTGCTGTATCGTATCATACCCCATCATCGGGACCTTCACTACGCCCACCCGTCACCGCCGTCACCGCCGTTGCCGCCGCCTACCGCACTACCCCCCAGCCCCGCATCTACGCTCCCCCAAGCCCGCCCTCGAAATGCCTGTCACCGCAGCCGCATCCTATCCCGCCACGCGCCGTCCTTCGACCTTCATTTCATAGCCAAGCCGTCGCTGGTTCACGCACGGTAGAGTAATCTTGGAGTGTCCGGTGGGTACGGACTGGCGGGCGGGCGCGCGGGGTGGAGTAGCTGGGTTTGTGCCGCTCTGGAGTCTATTACAGGCAGGGGTGACGGGGGGAATGGATAGCAACTGGGCTGGTTGGCAGTCATGGTGCGTGTGGGGCGTGGAGAGAGGTGGGTCTTTTGGAGTGGTTAGATGTGGCCGGAGGTGGGGCCGGAGGTGGGGCGGATGAGAGAAGGGGTGGTATGCACTCCGCTGTCTAGAGGTATAAGATGACCTCCGGCGGCGGTAACGGATGTGCTCTGTGTGCGCTCTGTGTGTGTTTTGTGGTACGCGTAGCAGAACGGGCGGTAACAACGGAGATAACTTTCTGATTCTGATGGATAGAGGTTGTGGGGTTTGGGGGTGCTGTGTAGCTCCTTGAGCTGTAGGGATAGGGTCGGCATATAGCTGCGGGTTGCCACTTTCTGTTTGCACGTGCGTTACGTGTGAGGGGATTGGGGTCGTAAGGATATTGCTTTGCTGGTTACTCCACTGATAAATTCACATACACCTTTTTCCTTCTCTCGTTTCGTTTTCCCGCATTGGCGGGGCATTTGGGCACCAGTGATACCACCTCTGGAGGACACCCAAGCGTTCACCAAAAGAACCCCAAAACACCCACGCCCGAGGTCCTTTTGAAACTAATCATGTGCTACGTTCTGCCAGCTGCGGATATCATCAATTCCGCGGTCGGGAAAGCTGTGCGTTTTTGATGGAACTCGGTCGCCGGGATCTATACTTTCATATTTGCAAATTGACAATTCTTAACTGTCTTTGCTGGCACCTTTTAGTGGTACTTGTCCGTGGGATATTTGAAACACGCTACCGAAGCCAGCACAGAAAAACTACCGCAAGACCTGCGAAATGGCTTCATCCCAGATTTTGGGGAGGGAATGAATGGGGAACACAGGAAGGGGATACGCTGGGGTGCCTGTGATGAGACGGAAGGGGCTTTACAGGGAGTGGTTGGTGATGGGGGGTTCTGTATATATTCACATCCGGGAGCGGTTCCTAAACTTGCCTATCAGTGCCGAATCAGTCCGTCAAATAGCGTCCTGATATGTGGAATTCCGTAACTATTTTCATAATTATTCGACATGATGGGTAATTATAGAAGTATAGGCCGCAGAAATCGGTGGCCGCGGTGGTTCCAAGTCCAATATAAACCCACACAAAAACAACTCGACCCGGCAACCCCAAGCGAAGGGCTGCGCGCAATTAATGAATTAAACAAAAAAAAAGGAAAAAAAGGAAACAAGAAAATCCGACAATATAGCTCCATGACCGGACCGAAATACAAAGTCAACATATACATCAATCAAATCAACACACCCCCACCACAGAAAGAAACCGATCCCTCACTGAACCCCACAATACCTGTTCGGCGCAAAGCACCCACCAGTAATGTGCTGAGTATATTATTATATTTAGTAATGTTCTGATAACACTCAGCTCAGTAATGTACTTGGATTGGATTCCTTTACGTACCACATCAGCAATGTACACCCCATTGACACGGTGGTGCACTGGAGCTGCATCCGCATTGAACCAAGAATGCAATACCCGCAAAGTGGCTGAAACTAGTAGAACAGGGTCAAACCCAGGCAAAATATAACATGACTCAAAGAGGATCTGAACCTGATTCTTAGATCATGATACTTGGCTATATCCGACCCGCCATACAACACTTATCATACATACGCCCTTAATGCGTGCTACAGATCCAGCACACAAGGACAGAAACACATCACATACCTACGTCTTCTGAGGCATTGTGAACCCTCAAGGCTTGGAAAATAATTTTTTTAAAAAAATATGAATGGTTTCCAGAAAGAACCCACAAACTAACATGCATCAGACTATTCATGTACCAAATGCCTCTATAGTAAATGTATAGATAAATCGTTTTCTCCACTCAGGAATGCATCATGGGATGTGCAAACCCCCGTAGTAGGGCCCGAATAAACAACACAAAAATAAGTGTCAACACATCGAGCACTGCCGAACCCGAGTGATAATCTGTGACCCTCGTGACATCGCGACTCTACACCGTGGCATTATCAATGGCCGATAGCTAGTTATTACTCGGGATTCCTGGCCCTCGGTAGGCACAGCAAGAAAAGTGTGGTACCCACAGTGCCTTTTGAAACACGGTTACAGAACGGACTATAGTGATACCCGAACGCGCTACCCGTTGGGGAACATCCCCGCGCCAAATCGCTGGTCAAGAGGATATCGTCCTAGCCAGGACGACTCTGGCGGTAATCTCAGGTCTCAAGATGCAAAATCACGAAGTAAATATCCTTTATACGTATATTTAAGAAACATAATCATCAAACTCTATCCACCTCCATTCTTTGTCTCAACATTCACCCCGTATACCTGATATTTACCTTACAACCTATATCCTAATGATCTTTCAACTTCATGGTCCATCGCCTCTGGGGGCGGGTAAACTGGAACGTTTCTCCCAATTCCAAATCATGCTCGCATGCTTCCTTCCGCCAGAAACCCCATCCGTACCACTTAGGTTGGGTATTCCCCTTGAGCTTTGCGCTATTTGCCTGTTCTCTATGCTCTCGGATCCATTCATCGACCTACCAGTACGATTAGATAAAAGTAACTAAACGAATGGGCATAGTTACCGGGAAGCGCTTCAATAAGCTCCAGACTAGGATGACAACGGTAAACAGGGAAATCGCGAGGACGATCACCCACGTCCATTTGGGCCCACCGCTTATGATGTCTACGTTCATCCCAAACAATGACTAGTGGTTTATAATATTAGCTTTGTTTCAACAGCAGTGAATGATCTCCCCGGGGTGATAAATCTACCGCAACAAACATCAAAGGCAGGAAAATGAACTATAACACGTTAGCTTATACTCTTTACGACAATGAGGGGCCTCCAGTACCGTGATCCAGCTCAGTCGCTTCATGCTCATACCCATCTCTTTTGAAGTACGACTTTCATAGATCGAGACTAGATTGAACTCCTATATTCCATGTCAAACATTCAGTGTGGGAGCCTTTCGCCGGGTCCAAGGTGTTTTGAACTTACAAGTTCGATCATCTTCTGCGTTTTGTCATCTAAATCCTTAATCTCCTTAAGCACTTCCTCTTCCAATCTGTCGATCGTTACTGATAAATTATCAAATGATACGGGAGGGTCGACAATCTCATCTTGAAGATATTTTGTTTCGCGAAAGTCTGTTAAGATGTCCCTAGCACTGCGCACCTGGGTCTGCAACAGAGATCGAGAGTCACTCCATGTTTGAGCATCTAGCAGGAGGATTTCAATAAACCCCGCACTCTTCCCCTGCTTCTTTAAAAGTATCCGTCTCTGTAAACACCAGGGTTAGCGTCTATGAAGGTCAATCTTTTAAAGTCCATGTAGCCCATGCAGAGTGTTTCCAACGGTTGTAACCGGTTCTTACGTTCAGCAGGACTGAAATGAACTGAATAGAGATGGCCGGTAATTGAACCGACCAAATAAGAACCGGTTTATATTGCAGAATGATTCTGAGGTCTTGGCACTAGTCCGGCAGGAACTCTACAGCAAAAGTGTTCTGGGCTAGGTTGGGAAAACCGGTTTACCCCAAACCACAAGCTGAACTGAACCAAATCGGGAATAGGCAAAACCGAACTGAACTGTTTTCTTAAACAGTTCTAGAAACCCGGTTTGAACTGAGAAACCGAAGAACCGTAGGAAACACCGCCCATGCACAATGGCCTTTATTCGAAGAGGAACTTAGACTTACGCTGTGATCAAGGTGAGTGTCTGCTTCCTCAAGGAGCACCCTCCATTTCTTGTGTAAATCAACCATGAAGGCGTTGAAGAAATCAACAGCGTCATCTGGCACCCACCCGATGTCTAATGTACTGACGAAATCTATTGTCCGTAGTATAGGTGTGAACTCTTGATTCGGTTCTGGGGCCCTCTTTCGCATAGTCCAGTTTATTGTACTTTTCGCTGCGGCTACTTTGAACGCGTTGCCCATTTCGTTCGGTTTCGCCTCCTGTCCAGCAATTTGGAGCAAGTAATCAAAAGATACAGAGCAGGTTAAAAATGCTATACTTTAAGTTAGAATTGCCATAGAGAAACCTGTGGCATAAAACAGACCTCCACGTACGGCGGTGGTATCCATTTTCAGATGAGAGGGAAGGCCGGTTCCGCCCTGGTCCTCAAAGCGATAATCGCTCTTTACGCGGCACCATCTCCACTGTCTCATACATATTACCCCCCCTCCTGCCCCAACATCTCCCAGCGCGTAGAACCGTCTCTCCTCGGTAGCCACAACTATCTGCCTAGGGTTCCGCAATATTTCTTGAATATCCCTTCCTGAACTATGAAAGACTTAGTAGGACCCCATGACTGCATTATCCCCAGGTTAAGGAATACACACTGATGAAGACTCCTATGACCCTCCCATTCTACGCTAGGCAGCGTGTCGAAAGATGTGATTTGAATTGACGTCTTTTGTAATTTACCTGACTGAAGCTGATCACCACCGGCAGCAGGATGTGGCTGTCCCTCGGAAAGTGGAGAAATCCAGCTTGGATGAGGAATTGGTCGGGCGGTCAGTGTTAAGAAACACTTCCGTGCGTATTGGTTATATTCCTGATGCCATAATTGGATTGGACGACCTCTGGTCTCGCAGCCTAGCCAGAGGAATATTCGTAAACATTGCGGTCGAAAGAATCTCTCACTTCCTCGTAAAAGATCGAAAGGGGTAAGATTATCCTGATCGCGTATATTTGTGTCGACCCCAGAGAGTAGGAGAAGTGCGATGGACCGAATGTTCCTTTGCTTCACGGCATAGTGCAAAGGACTTGAGCCCTCTTTAGATAGGACAGAGGTGCTTATACCTGCCTGTAGTAAGAACTGAAGGATTTTAGGTTTTGTAACGTTTGAGATTAGATGGTCTGTATTAATAGCTGAGAGGGTATCCTTGGGCGCTGAAATCTGCTGGACAAGTGAACCCGTGTTAGGCAAAGCGCCAGGATCTTCAACATACCCGTTCCTTAATCCTACACACACCGCGGTATTAGTAGAAGCGCGGCGGACTGGGTCTAGATATCTCTACCTAGTGACAGGAGACTAGCTACAATCTTCACATCCCCCCACCTGATTGCCGCCAGTAGAGCAGTGGCACCGGCACCACCTGAGGGAGAGGGGTTCACATCTGCGCCTGCAGCCACCAGAATCTCTACGATCACCGCATGCCCACCCTCAGCCGCGGCCTGTAGCGCTGTTCTACCACCACGTCCGGCGGGTGCGGCGTTGATATCTGCGCCTGCAGTCACCAGACTCGCTACGATCGCCGCATGCCCTCCTTCAGACGCGGCCTGCAGCGCTGTTCTACCGTCATAGAGTGCCGGTCCGGCATTGACATCAGCGCCTGCAGCTAATAGAATCTCTATGATCGCCGCATGCCCACCCTCAGCCGCGGCCTGTAGCGCTGTTCTACCATCATTTCCACCAGGTTTTGCTTTCACATCAGCGCCTGCCGCCAACAGAGCCCCTACCACCTCCGCATGCCCACCCCCCGCCGCGGCCTGGAGCGCTGTTCTGCCATCCTTTTGCGCAGGTTTGGCGTTGACATTAGCGCCTGCCGCCAACAGACCCTCTACGATCGCCGCATGCCCACCCTCAGCCGCTGCCTGCAGCGCTGTTCTACCACCATATCGAGCCGGTTCGGCATTGATATCAGCGCCTGCCGCTAGTAGTTGCTCTACGATTACCGCATGCCCACCCTCCGCCGCGGCCTGCAACGCTGGTCTACCATCGTTTTGCGCAGGTTTAGCATTGACATCAGCGCCTGCTGCCAACAGACTCTTTACGATCGCCGCATGCCCACCCTCCGCCGCAATCTGCAGCGCAGTCCTACCATCATTTTGCGCAGGTTTGGCATTGACATCAGCGCCTGCCGCTAGTAGATGCTCTACGATTACCGCATGCCCACCCTCCGCCGCGGCCTGCAGCGCTGTTCTACCACCATATCGAGCCGGTTCGGCATTGATATCAGCGCTTGCAGCCAAAAGTCTCGCCACGATCGCCGAGTGCCCACCCTCAGCCGCGGCCTGCAATGCTGTTCTACCATCATTTTCACCAGGTTCGTCATTGACATCAGCCCCTGCCGCCAACAGCCTCTTTACGATTGCGGCATGCCCACCCTCAGCCGCGGCCTGCAATGCTGTTCTACCATCATTTCCACCAGGTTTGGCGTTGACATCAGCGCCTGCTGCCAACAGACTCTTTACGATCGCCGCATGCCCACCCTCCGCCGCAATCTGCAGCGCAGTCCTACCATCATTTTGCGCAGGTTTGGCATTGACATCAGCGCCTGCCGCTAGTAGATGCTCTACGATTACCGCATGCCCACCCTCCGCCGCGGCCTGCAGCGCTGTTCTACCACCATATCGAGCCGGTTCGGCATTGATATCAGCGCTTGCAGCCAAAAGTCTCGCCACGATCGCCGAGTGCCCACCCTCAGCCGCGGCCTGCAATGCTGTTCTACCATCATTTTCACCAGGTTCGTCATTGACATCAGCCCCTGCCGCCAACAGCCTCTTTACGATTGCGGCATGCCCACCCTCAGCCGCGGCCTGCAATGCTGTTCTACCATCATTTCCACCAGGTTTGGCGTTGACATCAGCGCCTGCTGCCAACAGACTCTTTACGATCGCCGCATGCCCACCCTCCGCCGCGGCCTGCAGCGCTGTTCTGCCATCGTTTCCACCAGGTTTAGCGTTGACATCAGCGCCTGCTGCCAACAGACTCTCTACGATCGCCGCATGCCCACCCTCCGCCGCAGCCTCCAGCGCTGTTTTACCATCATTTTCACCAGGTTCGGCATTGACATTAGCGCCTGCCACCAACAAACTCTTTACGATCAGCGCATACCCACCCTCCGCCGCGGCCTGTAGTGCTGTTCTACCACCATATCGAGCAGGTTCGGCATTGACAACAGCACCTGTAGCCAATAGAATCGCTACGATCTCCGCATGCCCTCCTTCAGCCGAGGCCTGCAACGCCGTCCTACCCTCTCCGGCGGGTTTGGCGTTGACATCTGCGCCTGCAGCCAACAGACTTGCTACGACCCTGGCGTGCCCACCTCTAGCCGCGCCCCCTAAAGCTGTTGCTCCTTGATGGGGGACCGGCTCAAAATTCACGTTGGCCCCACGCTCCAACAAGAGTGAAACCAGGCTTTCACCCCCTGTGTTTGAAGCCTCCTGTAGCGCCGTCCCTCTGCATTCACACCTCCATCCACCTGTTCCCTTACTCCGGGTTATATCCTCATCCCAGCGGTCACACAGCTTGAGTGAGTCAAGTGTCACACCTTCATCAAGCAACAGTCGCACTATATCTTCGTGGCCATGTGCTGCAGCTTCCGATAGTGCATCATCCATATCGCACACAAAGAATGGGTTGAACTGGTCTGTTTTCTCGATAAACCTGGCCACTGTATCTTTGTCTCCGTCTCGAACAGGTTGCATGAAATCGACACTTCCATACTCGAACGGGTCGGAACCCGGCGCACCATACTGGCTGAGAAATTCTCTTGTAGCGTCTGAGTTTAATCTTTCGGGAATAGAGCTGGCAGGACCGGTATTAGGCATGGCGGGAGAGTATGAATTTCGGGTGATCGTATATTTCCCAGCTGAAGGCAATATAGTTCAAGTTTCGTGCTTGAATAAAGGAATGGAAATTGACTCCGTCGATGCGTGTGTAGCCCCTAGCAGAAATGCTGTCCTGTTGCTCTAATCGTATTGACTTACAAGAAATCGCATTTAGCTGGTGCTCTCGACCTTGCCAATATTCAAGAATGGGGGCGAGGGGGGTCTACTACCTTGTGTCGAGGGGGGAGATAAGTTTTGCGCAGCTCCAGTCGTCGAACAGGGATGGAAAGTCGCTCTTGAGTAGGCGTTTTTCGATATGACAGAACCTCCGAGGGAGAGCGGTTTGCTGTTATGTCCCTACTAACGAATATTGAGAAATGCCGATCAGTTAGTTCGCTGTTCACAAGGTTTGAGAAAGCCGGAGGTCTTGCTAACTAAGAGTTGAAGAAAGAAATTAGGTATAAATACTTGCAACAATCGTAGATAAACCCGGAAGCAGAGCTGTAATAATGATTTTGCTATTTCATCTACCCTGGGAATGAGAGAATAGCCCCGAGATGGTTTTTTAATCGACTTCAAAGAGGAGGGAGGTTCTCTCGGTATGGTCTCAGATGAGGGGTCAGCGTTGTGCGCACTCAAAAGGGCACGGGCAGAGATACCCATGTTGAGAACAGCGAGCAGTCGACCTGCACTTCTCACTCGCGATCGGTGGATAAATGCACTGTACACATGCAGGCATGTGCAGACGTCTGTTCTCGACCAAATAGATGCTGACATCGAGGACGCATGTCTTGTATCGCATGTCAGCCTCGAGGATGCATTGGGGAGTAGTGGTTGGCCGGCTTGCCGCTTACCCGCTCGATGAGCAGTTTCTCTCGCCAGATCAGAGCCACTTGGCATTGAAAGAATATCCGAATTTTCGAGCTGGCTGCAAAAACGCAAACTACTTACCACTCTGAACCCTACAGGCTTATTCGCTCGGAACACTTGACGTAATATTCCTAAACTGGCATTACCGGAATCGCAAGTCGAGCTAGACATTGTTTTGTGACAGCGGCATTGAGGCCCGGAGCCAGTCCAGCTCGACCCAGGCCCCCGCATCTCTCAAAATAAGATAACATTTATTGACTGATACCCTGGGAAACGCCCCAGCCAAGATGTAAGGTTGTCTGTAGTGCGTGCGCGAAAATATTTTCAGCACCACCTGAGACAGATAGAATCGCTCAACCTGCGGCTGAAAGACTGAGGCTAACCGAGGTCTTGGCATCTCTGTCGAAACCATCCCCCCTCAGGCACTGTGTCCACCACCTGCATACCGTCCCCTCTCCATTCATAGCTCAGCCGCGACCACTCACCGGCCACTCAGTCGACTGCACGCTGACGGTGGTTCCACCCACGGTTGTTCCACCCACGGCACCCCGCTGAGTTATCTCGTGTCCATGCCGCTGAGGCTTCCTTCTACTAACATGGTCTAGAGCCTCTACTGTTCGTACTCCACACCTACCAACTCGGTATTTTTACCAGACAGCTCTCCGGAGCGAGCGCATCGAGTGGGGTAGTGCTGTTAGGCCATGGTAGCTGGCTAAGGCCTGGCAGTGCGGGCAGCAAGAGATGCTTATTACACCATAACATTCTGGACGGGACCACGGCGATGGTAGGAGCAGGGAGCGCGCGGGGAGCTTGGTGGCTGTATGCGTCCTCCTTCCCCGTACCCCCCCAGTCCAATCCAATGCCCCAGGTGACTGCGGAGAACGTGCCGAACTGACATTCTAACAAGCACAGCATTCTACCCGTGATAGAGACCACCGAGCCCTACTCCTCCCGCGAGCTAAGATTGAACAGCTACAACACTATTTATCTGCTCGGCGGAGGTACCTCGACTCGCACACAATCCAGCTATACCAACCACCACTATCACCATCCATCGCCCATGACACCACCCTAACACCCGATTCACCATCCTACCACCTCAGCCCCGGTGGCTATGTCCCCGATCCCCAACCCATCCACCACACAGGACCTTCCCCAGATCTCGCGCCAGCTAAGACACTTCATCCTCTACCAGAGAGCGGAACTCACGCAGCGGGGATAACTAGCTAGGAGGTAATCTCACGGGGTGAATCCCCATGCTTCGGGCATGGTGAGTGAGAGGACCGGCGGGAACGTGCGAAGCGTACACCGTTGTTGGGGGTGCCGCTGTAGCAAGATGGGGTACGTACCAGCGCCCGATGCGTATATATCGGCAGCCGGACAGTTATTAGGCGGAGGACGCGGCGGCGGCGGATGTGTGCTGTTTGGATGAGAGGAATCGCTGCGGCGAGCGCTGGTGCCCTTAACAAGAGCGGGGGAAGGGTCTTTGAGAGATTGATGCCTGGTGGAAGCGGCGCAGGGTCGAACAGGGGCGCCGGGCTATAGGTGCAAAGCTTAGAACTACCACCTAACGGTGCGCTTCAACTCTTGGGCGGTAGAATACGCATTTGGAAGCCCGCCTCCTGGAGGACTGGTGGTCTTGGCAATCTAGGCGTGCGTGCATGGCATGGAGCTAGTTCTAGTAGCGGGAACTTGTCAGGTCGACGGTCTTGTACATTGCTTTGTTAAAACCCGTAGAAATACATCATTAAATTTTGAGAGATCTGTGGGGCAGTACTCTAGCAGCGTTCCTTACCTGTGACCAAGCAAATATTGAAGAAACAGCGCCAAGGAACGAGGCTCCGGGATGCGAGGGTTCTTGACTGTGGCAACGGGTAAAAAAATAAGCCTCCAATCACGATTTACTAGCGAAAAAGGCATATATAAGCGTTTTTTGGTGATTTTAGCATTATTTTAGTAAGAGGCTATATTTTTTCTAAGACTCTCTCCAGAATAAGGCACATATATGCCTTTAGCTATACATATACATTATATACAGGTAATTCTTAAATAAGTCTCGATACGAGATCTGTCTTTTTCATCAATCAAGACTCTCTGGTAAATAAGCCTTATTTAAGGCTTAGGAATTCGAATTTTATTGATTATTTTAGCCTCATAATAGTTCTAATATCAAAATCTTAATTCTCCTATAGCCTAATGGGTAGCTTGAGAGCTCGGGCTCTAGTATACCCGTAATGCCCTGGATTCAATGGTTTGCCTTTTCGTTTCTTCTTAAACTTAGAATAAGTTTTAAAATTGAATCAGCGTAAATTGGATCAAGGCTTACATAAGCCTAAAATCGATCAAGGCTTATATAAGAATTAAATTAAATAAGGTTTAAATAAGCCTTCAATTAAATAATTTGAAATATCAATAATGTTTAATCACTGGAGTTCGCTGTTAACGTAAATCAAGGGAAACTCGGATATCCTTTTGAAGTCGGGCGTCTCTGATTACTCATTCAAGTTGACTCTTGCAATTAATCATCCCTGTAAAAAAGATCAACATCGTGATAACAAAACCACAACCGAAAATAGTGAGAGGAAAATCGCAACCTAGTACTTCATCACAGCAGGAAAGAGAGACTTTTATACATCGAGCACTGTCAAAGAGGGCAGAATACAACTCTCTTTGGTCAGTTTTTACACTGGAATTTGGTATTGCTGTATCTACATTGGACCATCGATTTAAAGCCAGAAAAAATAGACGCGAAGCGAATCAGGACCAGTAGAAACTACCATCAAGCGTGGAAAAGGCATTTAAGAAATGGTGTCGGGATATGGACGATACAGGTTTTCCGTGCAGGGTGGATCTGCTACGGGGTATGACGACAGCTTTATCGGAGAATATCGTGGAAGAGGAACATCTGGAGCGAGATACAGCACATATTGGACGAAACTGGATAACGCGTTTTTTTAATAAGCATTCAGATTTTTCAGCCAAAAAGAGTACGCAATTGGATCATCAAAGGCACCTAACAAATAATCCCATCACGTTAAGAAACTACTTTAATAAGCTAAACAGGTTTATCCGCATCCTAATCCCTAAAGGGTTTGGCCCCAACCAGGATACATACAATTTTAGAGACAAAGGGTTTATACTTGGTTAACTATCAAAAGCGAAGGTGATCTGCCGGCCAGGGAAAAGAAATCCAAATCTTGTACGAGATGGTTCACAGGAGTTGATAACAGTCATTGAAGCAGTCACTGTAGCAGGTTGCGTTCTTCCCGTTTGGATACTTTATAAAGGGAATAGTCATTACATTGGTTGGCACCAATCGACAGATAATTCGGAAGCGGTCTTTTGTTTTAGCGACAATGATTGTACAGACAATAATATGGAGTTGCGATAGTTGAATGAGAACTCGCACTTCGACATTCACTCCAAAAAGATCAGTCGAGCCCGACTACGACTATTGATTTTAGATTGTCATTGTTTACACCTAACCTATGAGTTTTGCTCTTATACCTTCTCTCAGAACATTCATATCATGTGTCTCTCTGCCCATTCAATGCACTCTCTTCAACCTCTAAATATAGGCCTATTCGGGTATCTTCAACATTATTATGGTAAAGCAGTAGATACACATCTTCGAGAAACCTGTACCAGTACAAATAATTGCACTTTTTGGTCATTCTTTGTTGATTCTGGGAAAGAAACATACACTAAATCCGCAATACAGACGGCTTTCCGAACCACTGGTATTTTCCCATTCGACCCCAACAAAGTATTAACAAAACTAAAACCGAACCAAAACCCCGGTCCTGCAACTCGCTTGAAGTCCAATCTCCAAATCCTAGATCATCCATTACTTCAAACATCAAAGAACAGACGTGACCTGTGCCATCAAGCTCAATTTGCTTTAAATCCCGGAATCCATTATCAAAAGAAACAATCTGTATAAGTTCAAGTTTCAAATATCAACTAAAAGGCAGTACCGGGGCTCACTCAAAACGAATATACAGACATTATTCTTCGAATGCCATTTTCAACAAAAGAGTCCCTCACTCAAGCAGAAATTGCCAAAATACAACTCCAGGACATTAGGGTCAAATATATGGGGAAAAGGGCAGTAAGAACCGACAGAAGAGTGATATCTAAAGCGCAGGAGATTACAGGGGTGGAGATAATGAGACTGAAGGCACTTTTAGAAACGAAAGAGTCGGACAAGTTGAAGAAGGGGACGCACAGATCAAAAATAAAGACCGGAAAAACCAAAAGTAAAGGTTAGTCTCTGGTACCTCAACCTATACACATTTCTTTATGGCGTTCAAATCTCGTCCAGAACTCCTACTAATATTCTTAATTATCATCTCAGTATTAGGGGAAACTTGAAGTTTGTTACCGTATTGGCATAATATTATTTCTGTATAGTAGTTGTTAGTTGGGATTGTAGTGCGGGTGAGAGCAGTTGTTAGGATCATAGTAAGGGGGACTCACCTCATATCAAAATTACGAATTATGTTACCGTTCACCACTTTTATGTGTAGATCATATTGGTGTTTACCACCCTTCAAGTTAATTATGTTTGTATCTTGTGGCGGTTCACCTTATGAAAACCTGACTGACATTACAGTGAATGAATACTCTGAGACATCAGACTTCCTGGTCATATCCGAGTTCCACGTTATTTACGTTAGAGACTTAAAATTAGAATCATGAATACATTTCCAAAAAGGTGATATTTGCCTTATTTGAGACTGCCCTAACGATTATTTTTTTTACTGCTTCCCGCAGTCAAGTTGGTGAACCCCAGTTATCTTGACACTATGCAATCACTAAATGATAACCTCAAATTCGATAGAAGCAGGACGAACCTTCAATGTGTATGCTGTAACAACAATCCCTATCAACAATGCTTTACCTTGCAACACTGAAATACACTAGTGCATCGAGCAAAGCTAGACTGTCTCGACCTTCAAATCACCGGCTCGCCTCTAGTTGAGACTGCACTTCCCCAATGGGTGAGTAGGTAGCCTATACTATCAAGATGCATTGTGTGAATTGGCAAAGGCTGTATTGTGTGTGGTACTAACCCTGTTACAACTGTCTACTATCCCACTTAGCAACCAATCTACTGCCGCATTTACAATAACAACGCTTGCTGAAGTATAATGCAGTACACATTGAGGTAGGGGACAACGACTCCCCTGAATGACTTGCTTTGCCCGACTGACTATTTATCCGATGGGTGCTTCGTATCCTTTATGCTGCGACCTTTATTTAGAAGGTGAAGAGATCCAAAATATCGTCTTTACATCTCTCATAACCAGAGGCCTCGCTGTGTAAAACTATCTTCTAACAGGATATATTTGTGTACAATAAATCCACCACTTTCACCCTACTCGTTCGGCCGGATTGAAACTGCTCAGACTAAAGAAGTAAATGATTGTAACGTTGATTTTTGCATAGCAACAGTGCGACGCCTCCCGATGAACCAACATGGTCTGACCTGATAACCCATAATCAACCAAGCAAAATGCCATCAACACATACAGTAGAACTTGGTACTGCTGCTAGAGTTCCTATTCTAGAGAGCTCAGTAATTCTGATGCTTCACTTACATGCTGATATCTCTTTTTACACGACAGAGGAAAAGTTGGATTTTAAAAGTAGTACTGCAAATGTTATAGTTAGAAAATAAAGGTATTTGAGATTGTAATTGTTATAGTGCTCGGCTAATTGTGAATGGGAAAAAACCTATAATTTGAAATGCTTGTAGGCTATAGTAGCATATTTGGAGTACAAGCATGTTGATGTAAGGAGCAAAACTGTCTAGAAGGTTCAGCTGAATCTGAAGCATTACGGGCCTGTTTTCAACAAGATGAATAGAATTAGCAGATGCTATTTCCCAAAGTTGAACAAGAATTAGGAATGCATAAGGCGAAATCTACTCTTAAAAATATATACTAGGAGTAACATCAACATCAGCAAAAAATTACATGTCGTCTTGGGGCACTTAGCCGCCCGAGATACCCCACATGCCACAGATGCCCCAAGACCTTTGCTTACCTCTATACCAACGCCGGGGCACACCAACACGGAGCCAGTGCACCTCTTTGCGAATGGACGTTGTCGCGACTGGTCTACATGCAAAATCGTCTTTTGGCGTCTAACGCCGTCTGAGGCAGTCTGTACGCTAGTATATTTGGCCCGGTTAACGGTTTTTGCTAGCAGTTTTCGCTGGCAGA